AGTATGGGAGCTGTGGCAGCTTTCGCAGGAACATGACCTATTGTCCTGTCAGGCCTTCAGGCAGTTCATCCCTGACCCATCCTTTTGTTCCACCTTCAGGGCATAACACAAACATAGCACCAAAAGATTGATGTGAACTGAAGACACTCAGCAAACACCAAAAGACATCCAACGACATGGGTTTCCTATATGGTTTCGCTGGGTCTCGTGTTTGCAGCTCCGGTCCAGCCGATTAAGGATGTTCTTACTTATGCTTCGGCGATGTGTGTCTGCGAGAATGCTGGTGAATGGGTCCAAAGCTTGATGCCCAGCTCGATTTTAGGTGCGTTTTTGTTCGTGAGGTCAGCGATGGCGACCAGGATATACCCCGGAGACGACAGTAAAAACTACCTCCCAGTGAATTATAGATGCTGCTTTGGTTCAAAGAAGGGGTCGAAGAGATGCACTTGTTTCGAGGCGGGTGGAACCTGATACCCCGAACTTGCCTGTTGTTCTCGGCCAGTTCGATGGCTGAAAGAAGATCATCCACACCCGCTGAGTAGGTGAACCATTGTTCAACAAAGAAGTGTGGGAGGGGGCTTGACGAGTAGTCTCTAAGCCCATGGCATGTGTCTATGTGTTTCGCAGGGGCGCCTGTGGGCGCCCGTTTGTCGGTTCAATCCAGACACCAGCACCACTAAAGGGAAAACATGGTCTGGACAAAAGTACATCCATTTTTAAATCATAGGACAGTAGTAGGTGGCACGGTTGTACGAGGTTTTGGACGGACACACTTTGTTAAATGCCGGACATGCATTTACTCGCCAGCTAAGTTTGCACACATCGCCAGGAACTCGCTCTTCATCAGCCCATGAAACCACCACATGTTCCTTCAGGAGGTTTTTTTGACGGTCCCTTTACTGTTGTTCGTGCATTCTGGCCAACAAGCATATATTTCCTTCTGCTGGCATGCTGGCCTAAGGATGCTGCTTGAGGCTTTGGTTGAAGCATCTTTGGAAATGCTGGTGTGTTTAGATTAGCTTTGGTTGCTGGCGCAAGGCCATGCCAATGGCAAGTTGCTTTTGTACTGCCAGGTTTCTCGCAGACACTTGCAATCATCCAATATTTTGTGTTTTGTCGTTTTAGTCTTTGCGAGGTGATGTTTGGATAGGTGTTTATGTTATTTGTAAGCGATATCACCCCCTTAACACTGACCGTCTCGTTCACTGTTCCAATTGTCAGAACCTCTTGTAGGCACATGCGTGTCTTATCAAGACTTGTTGGCATATAGTTCTGCAGTCTTTCAGAGGCTATGAAGAGGGGCACTGGGACTGCTGGAACGTGCTGCAGGAGAACTGGGAAGCAGTGCTTTTTTCTGCAATCCCTTCGTACTCACTGGCTCTCAAGGTTGCTTGGTGGAGACAGGCGTGTGAAATCCGAAGAAGGCCACGGCTACAAACTACGATGCAGATTTGGACTTTGTCTCGCAGTTTGGCGAGACACTTGGAACCCTTCAAGAAAAACGAACCTCCTAGCGGGTAGGTAATAACTAATAAGACCAAAAACAAGGAAACCTACCACTACCAGACTCAGAGGTCTCCTGAAGGATCATTCCCTCATTTCTCACTATAAGCATCAGCCTCGGTGTCAAGAAGATCACCGACTCGAGTTCGCTTGCGGAAGTAGCAGGTACACATCGGTGGCGAATGCCCAAAGCAGTGCTCACCATGAAGCGTTGCCTTCAGTGCTCACCTTGACCTGGATCGACTTGTGCAAAGCGCGCCTCCCATGTTCGGAGATGGATCTGTATGGATTCCTCGCGAGCTTGTAGAATGGTGGTTCGATGTGGTTTCTGTTAACCCATTTTGAGCAGCTTTGCATTGGTGCCTTCAGGTCTTTGTTACAAAATGAAGTTTTCCACAATGTGACAATGTGTGTAAGAGTTGTGCTTGTTTAACTGTAATTCAGCCGAGCCCCGCCGACCCCAGCCGAGTTCTAGTTGGCTCATAAAAAAAAGCAGCAGCCCTGAAGTCATTGATGGATGCAGAGCATTGTGGACTACAACAAGGCCTGGGTGATACGTCAAAACCGAAGGGGGAGCGACGAACTTTTGGAGGAAACCAGGTGGCCTTCGATCCAGTTGGCCCCCACCCGCGTCCTATCCAAGTTTTGGACGTTTTCCACAGTGCTTGAGAGTTGCTTCAGCATAGAGCAACACCTGTGTTGTTTTTGTGCATGGGGCTTAGCAATGTTTCTGCCACCCAACTCAGTCCCCTTTTGAACACTGTGTAGGAATGTTTATTTGTAGGTAGATTGAAGTTTGTAATTATACACCATATACGTATAAATATACATATCCATTAGATAAGTCTGCTCCAATCCTGGAATTGCATAGGGCCATAGGGTCATGTTTTCTCATGTCTCATATGGACACATATAATCATATATATAATACACGTTGATGGATATGTCATGTTATGTTTGATCTATGTCTTTTGCACAAGTAAAAGCAATACCAAAGCGTTTGTTCTCTCTTGGCCGTATATCCATCCGTGGCCTCAAAACTTGCTCGGCTTCAGTGGCCAGCGTGTGTGAGGCCATCGGAAAGTGCACAGACCAGCGGCTCTGGAAGGATGCCTTGCAACTTCTTGATGATCTCAGTTTGGAAGGACCGAGCGTGCCACTTGCTTTGATCCCAAAGTGGCAACAATTACCACTTGTCATGCAATTTTTGAGGAGGACATGGACATACTGTAAGCCCATTGAAGTTCATTGCGCAGGCTTTGAGCCAACTGTCTTCACCTTCGGTGCGACTTTGGGTGTCCTTGAGAAAACATCCAGATGGAAAGAGGCTGTGGCCGTTCTTAGCAGCGCGCTTGTGCAAGATGTTCAAGTCAATTTGACGCTGGGTCTTCCAAGGATTTGCCACGGACCAGTGTCCAGGGTCCAACGGGGCAGAATGGCAGGACAGAAGAAAGGGCGTTCCCATGCACCACTGGAGTTTAAGGGATGATGGGGTGTTCAATGTTCGGGATGCGTTTTACCATGGATGATGTTAACTAGGGTGGAGGGTGGTCAAAACAGGCCGCACTGTTCGGGTTGCTGTCACAAAGTCCGCAGCCGTGATCCTGTTGCCAGATTTGCCACAGCCTAGGATACTTTACAATGCTGCTCTCAGTGCTTGTGCCAAAGGACGACAATGGCAATGTGCGCTAAGCTTCATGAAAGAGCTGAGGGAGGACGCGAGGCCGGAACGAAGAAAGGCGTCGGAAGCGTCGTGGTGTGAATCAGCATTGTAGTCCTGTCGGTTTCCCTTGTTGTGTTGGGGGTCTTCTCCGCAAACCAGGTCCAACGCCTATGGACACGCCGTCGCCATATTTTGGGTGGGTCCCCGACAAGCCGTGAATCGGAGAGGCTACAGCCTGACATTGTAACCTACAGTTCTGGCATCAGTGCTTGTGAGAAAGCTGCTCGTTGGACAGAAGCCCTAAGCGTGCTCGAGATGGCCTTGGATCAAGCTGTGCAGGACATCAGATTAGTTAGTTAAAGATCGACCCGGAGCATTTCACATACACCAGGGGAGCTTTCGCATCATACACCATGTCACCATGTGATGTGTTGCACTTCCTTTAGCAAGTTGGTTCGGTTGGTTTGTCCGAATTAATATTCCCTTCGGACATATTTACCGGAAGCTCTATTTATATATTCGCCGGCGGCACGCAGGCCGATGTCATTGCCTTCAATGCCGCAATCAGTGCATTGGAGAAAGCCGGCAGGTAAGATACATAAAGAATCATAAAGAACTTCCCTTTCGCTACGTGGAGTGTTCCGCTATGAAGAAACCGTAAACCATGTTTGGTTGACCACGGAAAAATAAAGTAATATCAGGTATCCGGGCCGGACCCACATCCATATAGAACTCATGACATCTTCCAAGATCTTCTAAGGGCGGGGCAACGGGAGGCAACCCCCACGATGCCACTATGTTTGTGTGGTATCATGTGTTACTGTTCTGTTTGCTCATTTAGTTGCTGTTGTCGGGTGATTCTGGTTCACCTGCAGGTGGGAGGCAGTCTTCTCCGTATTCAATACTATGAGCATGATCGAGATTCAGCCTGACCTCATCTCCATGAATGCTGCTAGGCTTCGACACCGGACACCAAGCACACACAACCCTTGGAATGAAGAAGACTTGAGAATGTTTTGGGTTTCTTAATTGAATGATATCCCCACAGGTGCCCTGGTCTTGAAGGGGAAAGCTTTGTTGATGTTAAGCGATCATGGTACCCTAGCAGGATGAGGCAGGAGAATGCAGGTGGTTGTAGGAGCCAATGCGGTGCAAAGGTTTCAGGAGCACCCAGCCATTCCACTAACACCATATGAGGCGGAATACAGGCATATACGAGCATGAGGAATGCCATCATGATCCATCATGATGATTGAACACATGCTCACCCGGCAAATTGGGACTCCAGCTTTGGTGGGTAGGAAGCCGGAAGGAGAACAAAGCACCTGGGCACCGGGAATCTTGGCGAAACCTTGTTCCCTTATACTACTTGTGCATCATCCTTTTGTCATCAATGGTCCATTGTTTAATTGTTTGGTTCCCCCCCCGCCCAGTAGCAGCAACAATTGATGCGATTGCTTCTAGTAGGTCTCCAACTGCCTCCTGAGTCCTGAGAATGTGTTTGGGGTGGGTTTGGAGGGAAACATGTCTAAACCCCTCTTGGGGATTCTTTTGATGAACCCCAACTGATGGTCACCATCCTGATAACCCAAGCCATTCACCATCTTGAGGCTGCAATCAGCGCATGCGAGAAGGCCAACGAATGGCAGAGCGCGTTGAATCTCTACAGTGCAATGCAGCTGCAGCGTGAATCGGGCGACATCATCACTTTTGGCGCGACCATCAGTGCATGTGAAAAAGCTAGCTGCTGGCAAGAAGCCTTGGCGCTCTTAGCCATTCTGAAGCAAAGGAGCGAATGTTACAGGACCAAAGAATGTTAAATAAAGACCAACCATTGGCACTGCCAAATCTGGTGGGTGCCCTCGTTTGTTGAGAGCCGCTGTTTTTGAGATGTAGAGCCCACACTTTGCCACTCGTGGACCCATCAAGCTTATGCCCTACATCACCTCCACGCCATGAGGTCTAGGAAACTCGAAGGACTGAGTACGAACACGAACGGGGATCTCCCCAGTTCTGTCCCCGGTGTCGGCGGACTTGATGATCGACCACGGGACCTTGAAAAAGAATGCCTAGATTCCTGCAATTTAAGTATAGTTAATGTATGTTAATGTGTCTATAGACTGTTGGTGAACAACGGCATCCCTGCCAGAATGGCATTACAACTCCATAAGGTTTTTTCTTAATCAACAGTTCAACCGTCTACATTCGTCCTTCAAGAACATCATAAGCAAAGTCAATCCCCCCAAAAGGGGTGATGCACTTCGTTAACTTCATTTCGTCCTCCAGGCAGCCACATCAGAAGAGCAGGGCCTTGTTGGGCTCTGGTGTGGTGCCCTACAGCGCAGCTGTGAGTGCTTGCGGTTGGGCTTCCAAATGGCAAGAAGCGATGTCGTTGCTGGAGGTCCAGGGTGTTGAGCAGATCTGTCGAGAGCAGATTTGTCAAGATCGCTTCACGCTTGTTCTTGTTTGTTGGGGGGGGCTGTCTTTATGGCTCAGAAAAACTATAAAGCACGTGGAGAAGCCGCAGACTAGGTGAAGGTGCTTCCATGCCATGTCCTGCTTGTGATGGCATGTCATGGCCATACATTCCGGTAGGAATTGGTGTGTCTTTGGAAGCCTGACGTCATTGCATTCTGCGCTGCGATCAGTGCCTGTGAACGCGCTGCGCAATGGACGAAAGTTCTTGAGCTGCTGAAAGACATGCGCCTCAGGCAGGGGCAACTGACCTGGCCAATAGGTGCATGGCTCAATCCTTCAGTTTTGAACCATTCTGGTTGAGGAGAACTTCCCTGCGTAGCCTGGAGTCTCACAGTTTGCTACCCTCATGATCTCTCATGCATCCTCATGCTGTGTTTGCTTCCAGTGGTCCATTTCTTTCTTGGCTGGACCTCAAGGACCGACTGAGAGTTGAAGGACTACCCTTAGATTGGTGTTCGACTTGTTGGGCTGAATAATGAAGACTGGGTGAGAGTTCCAAGGTTGGAAAGTCTATGGGTGTACAGATCCAGCAAAATAAACAGTGTGATCAACCCCCCCAAAAAAAAAGACGGCCCCTACCCGCCGAAAAGAACCACTTCGCACACCCAGACACGTTTGCGAGTTCATCAACGCTTCGTGCAAACCACCTCTGGAACGAGGCATTTGAGAGCTGACATGATGACCTACAACGCTGCGATCAGCGTTTTGGACAAGGCGGAGAAATGGGAGGAAGCACTTTCCTTGTTCGCGCTGGCCTCGCAGAAGAAGATGCTGGTGGCTTCTTGGTCTGAAGGCATCAATTGAGAAAGTCCTACGTAAGAATTCACACCTTGGACAACTTGTTGGCTGGACCAACCAGGCAGTAGAAAAGACTTTGCAAGATCAATTTACAACTCTGTTTACAGGGAGTGCATGTGAAATTATGGTGTCCTGTTTGCGACATAGCCGTTCTGAAAAGCACCTTCCCTGCAACATGACCCAACCAGCGGAACAAAAGCCTTCCTGACGTGCAGCGTCATCCGCTTGGCAAACTCGGGAGTTACAATTCCCCAAAAAACTTAACTTATATATTATATACCACCTGAAACATCCCGAGGTTGGCTTCGTATCCGGTCAAGGATGGAAGTCCCCGGAGTCCCCAGGCGTGATACCACAGAGAATAATGAGTCCTCGTGCAACAGAACCCCCCCTATAAGGAGACATAAGGAGTATGGGAGCTGTGGCAGCTTT